AATTCAACCTTCCCTAATTTTGCCTTTTTGTCCTCTCCAAATCAGAAGTTGTGAAATTAACTTATACTGAAAATGAACTCTTCATGAGAGCCAGAAAACTTAACGTGAGGGCACTTTAGTCTAGCTAGATCGGTAATCTCCCCCCCTGCATTTGCATCACCCTCTCTGAAAGCTGTAAATCAATAAATAAGCCTTCTTAGCAAGCATAGTATCTGTCATGGAGAAGACGTGCTCTTTGGAGACCACAGGGCCACAAAGGACGAGACCTGAAATCCAGCAAGCTGACCGCTCTCACCCTTCGCAGTGGCTGGCACGAGATGCTTCATTCAAGTGAAATGAGTGAGATCTGGGGTAGTCTGATTCACTCAGTAAATCTCATCCCAATCTTTACTATTTCAGGGCTCCTCAAAGAACAAGTAGCTCCTTACTGAAGGTTATCAGCATTAATTACAACTTCTCCAGATACTCTTGATACATATGTATCAGATATTTGGTTTCAGCACTGCCATACTGCCCACTTCTGAGAAGGTCTTTATTGGCCATAATCAGTTTTAAGTCTGCCATCTTTAAACTTCATTAGATGCTTCCATATTCTTGTGTAGCATGGAACTAAAAGTCCTTGCTCATGCTTTCTGTGCTGGAATGGGTGCAGAGAAACCAGGAGAACTGTTGCACGCTAAGAACAACCATCTCAGCCTCGAAGCACCATTAGCAGACCCCTTTTTAAATCCACAAAGCACCAAGTATCTCTGTGGTACTGCATGAGTAATGATTATAAGCTGCTCCTAATACTCCAGTAAAAATACAGTAAACATAGATTTAAAATCATGTGCATTTTTTGCTAACATGTTTAACAAAAAAACCCAAACCACCTTGCAGAGGTTATCAATGCTCATCAACAGAAACAGCTAACTTTTTTTTTTCCTTTCACTAAAGAAAACATGACGTTCAAATTGGAGAAAAGGCTGCTTTACCCAGGCAAGATTTCTCTCTTCTGGATGCTATTAAATGAGACAGAAAAGACTCTAAGAACAGACAGCAGTAAACATAATGCCCATTTTTCTTCAAATCTCAGGCCCAAACCAGCACTTGCAGAAAAAACCCTAGCATTCCCACTGCAGGAATCAAGCCTGTTTCATGTGAGGACAGATGATCAGAATGGTCCTTTACAGGCCTTATCTAATTTATCTTCTTCAAATGTACTGAAATACACACATTCCCCATCTATATCATTCCCAGCTCATTAAGCTCACGGGTGTTCTGAAGGTGTCTTTTTCAGACAGTGCAATCTATGAAAAGTGAATCACTCCATCCATGCTTATTGCAAGTGCCCATCCCAGGCGTTTGCTGTGTGAGAGCAAGGAGTCAGACCTGATGGGAAGAACACCACTGCCCTATAAGACAGCGTGATTACAGAATTGCTCTCGTCCAGGCTTATTGCTCTTGGACAAAGGTCAGGCAAAACTTGGTTTATTTTAATTCATATCTTCTCTGTTTTACTTTTGGCCTACAAAACAGTGGAAACCACAGCAGAAGAAAAATACCGAACTTATACTTTGGAATTTCAAACAGGTTTATATGGGAATCCTTGAGGATGGATATTTTTTCAGCTGTAAGCTACTTCTGCTGAAAAAAAATCAAGTAGACGATTTAAAAGAGACGACTTATATAAGGAATAACTCAAGCAGTATTGGTATAAACTTTGACATTATTCCTCCTGGAGACTCATCCTCATGTTTTACTATCCAAAATAACCCTTGGGACTTTTGCACAGCCTGAGTATGTAGAAGGGCTCGTTGACAGGCAGAGCTCAAAGTGCAAATACATTGCACCAGCAAGGGCAGCCTCTGGTCCAAACTGTGGCTGTAACTCTCAGGTGACATACCAACAACTCACTGCTCAACGTGTCTGAAGACATTCCTCCTTTCTGCTGTCACACTGACCTCACCTATTTTTCCCTTCTTGGAGAAAGACTCAGTAGAGTCAACATGCAAGACCTGCTGCTTCAGTAGGTGCCAGCCCAGGAGATTATTTTGGACAAACTCATGCCAAAGAGGTGAGACAGATGAAGGGATGGGCAGACTGCTAAAGATACTCAAAATGCCTGAAGGTCCAGACAAGCTTGCTGGGGGAAGTACAAAGGCACCTAAGCATTTCAGTCCCCTGGACTACTTCAGCAGTTCTGTGAAACCTTCTGTAAGGACATTTGAGTTTCCTTGATTCAATCATCCTCCAGACCCACCTGTATTTGGCTGACATCATTTTTAAGGCTGACTTGACTTTAATCAAAGGTATCTTACCTGGAAGATGGGAGTTGAGACTCTTAGCTCCACCCTTCTGGCAGCTGTAACTCACCTCGCTCTCCATCAGCCTTCAGCACTCAGCAGGAGAGCAATACTTTTGCCACACAGGATTTGAGCCACTGCTACAGACCACTTCCCCAGTTGACTCCTCCCTAGCTACAAAGAAGCAAACAGAAACACAACCTCTCTCTCCCTAGAGCTGAGGGCCAAAAACAGCACATGGGGGGATTTCAGCCTGGTGGATCTAAGGTTTGGAAGGTAAATTCTTCATTTCAGACCTGAACCACAACTGCAGAAGTCCTTTGCCCTGCAACAGCTTTCATGCAGGTCTTTCCCCAGTTGAGGCCTCACCACGCCATTTTCAAAATTTAAGCTTGCTTCAGTAAGGGAACAGGCTGTTTCAGAGAGATAATCCACATTCACATGCCCTTATGCGCTCACAAAGCAACTGAAACACCTCCTAGCATCTGGGGGAAGCATGTTAAGAGGAAAAAGAAAAAATAAAAAAGATTCCCATAAGGCAAACAACGCCCACCCAGCCTGGAAGACTGCCTGCAGTTAAGCTCATGTTAAACAACCATTGCTAAGTTTCTCTTACTACAGAAAAAGATAGTACTTTGCTTCCTGCGAAAAAATGGTTTTAGGTGTTTTGAAAGGCTCATTAAGTTTGCAGGTGTTGTGGGGATGCCTTGGCTCCAGCAGTGCAGTGAATATCCCACACTGAGCCTGGTTGCTCAAGTGCCAGATTAAAGCTTAGAAGAGGGAGGACAGATCATGTCGTATGTGGAAACCCTGGGAGAAGAGGTGGATGCCACCAGGACTGCCACAGAGCTGCTTCTCCTAGTGATGTCCATTCGGACACTGACAAAGGAGACAAAGTAGAAATGTTCGCTTGCAAAGGCACCCAAGAAATAGTGTGGCTTATCAAAGACACAGAGAGTTTATCTCCGCGCACTAGCCAATGCCACCCAGCAGTGGGGAGCTGTATGCCAGTACTGAGGGGAGGCATGTTACAGCTGTGATTTGTGACTGAAGTGAAATTTTCCCTCCCATCTAAGGGAAAGGAGCAAAGACTAATATTTTCACTGTGGTTAATCCATCATTGCCAGATTGGTCTTACTCCAAACCTGTTCAGAGCCGTTTTATTGCTGCCTAGAAACTATTTCATTTCTTTAAGTGCAGCCATTTAAAGCACCTTCCCTTGAAATGGTATTTCTGGGCTTTGTTGGTGTTTTGGGTTTTTTTACTGCCATCAGCAAGAACCCTTTCATCTTCAATTCTTCCATGACGGGCACCACATTTACCTGCATGTTATTTCAGAAGCTTCTCAAGACAGCTTGCATAGGGTTCAGTGGCCTAAACAAGGGTTTCTAGCCCCATTTTAGGTGCCAGACTTCCAGATGCTGTGACAGAAGGCTGTGCGTCTCCTCTGCCTCCTGGCTCATCCGTGCCAGCACATATGGACGTGTCTCATCACTGGAGCCAGCTGATGAGGCACAAGACCCTGATAACCAGGCATCTGGCCGGCTCCCTCTGCGTCCTCGTTCCCAGGAAGGCAGCACTCATAATCTGTCACTCCTTCCTGAAGCATTTCTCCCGTGTATAAAATATCCCACGTGCACTGATCTGAAGTTTGGAAATGTCTTGTGGTACCGAGTCTGTTACCCATGTAATTTGTCATAAAATATGGCCAAAATGAATATTGATATTGAAGACAGAGATCATGATTTGAAACTTAAGTACTTCCCAAAAAGAACCCCAAAACACCACACCATAAACATTTGAATCCTAAAGACCTAAAGAACTGTGTGTGAAAATATAATGGAAAAGGGAAGGATTAGGTAGCAAGCTTTGGTGAATATTTCCTTGCAGCTGCTGTTGAAGTCTCTGATGCGGAGGCAGGCATCTCCAGCAAACAAGCTGTCAAGCAGGCTTCAGTCAATCAGCTCCATAAAGAGAAGAGGATTGCTGGGTAGAGCTAGCTGCAAATCTCTGAGCATTTATATCCTTCACTGAGTTAACCCTCTGTCAGACTGGAATTTTCCGATGCAATCAATCATATGCTTGATTTCAGGTGCCTGAGTTGCTTCAAAACTAAATTCTCCCCAAACTCTTAAAATGAAGCTTCAGGAAATCAAAATAGGATCTCTTTCAGGTCTCAAGCCAGATATTGAAAGGACAGGCATGTGGAATCACCAAAGCATTTTTAAAGCCTCAGCTGAAATCCTCCTTTAGACTCTGACATATGCACTTACTGCTTCTAGCAAGGGAAAAATGCAAACAATACCACAGAATATTGTCTAGGAAGCATATTGTAGGCAACTAGTAAATGAGATGTGCTGTCACTGCTTTAGTGTCAATTACTGCATTTGTGACTGATCAGTTTGATAGATTCATCTGCATACAAAATCATACTATGCTGTCTCATCTGTAAACAGTTTCGAAGCTACCGGGCAGCTGAGTTAAAAGGGAGGTGTCCCTCAACACACTTTATTGTCCTTCAAGCATGAACAACCAAATTTAAATTTATGTCAAGTATTCATATGAAAGAACTATACTCCTTGCAGCCTTAACAAACAAAACAAGAAAAACAGAAGAACATTTATCTTAAATTGTTAGGACTAGTGCAAAGCATTAGATTTATGCTACTACCATTTCTGAACTCTCCATTTCCCTTTCACCCAGCCCTTTATTTACCTTGAATCCCCAAAGGACTAATATTGCCTCTCAATGCTGGCACATGATGGTACCGGTGTGGCCTTGAACTCCTGTACATCCAGTGGTACCTGCCAATTTCCATTTCTGGTCTGGTGATCACTGCCAATTTCAGGTGGTAAAAAGTCAGTGTCACCAGCAAGTTTTAGTTCAGCACTTTCAGTCATTTAAAAATAAGAGCCCAGAAAAACACGCTGTAGTTTCAGAAATGAAACAACATAACTTTACCAATCCAAGGGAGGGGTTGGGAGGGACATCGACAGGGAGACACACAGGTGTTAAGAAAGGTTGAATAGCTAAAACTCCACCTAGGATTTGAATTAAACACGTAGGGAAGGACTCTCTATTCCTTTCCCCCCACCCACTCTCAAATCTCCCTCTCTTTGTCCATGGCAAAGAGCTCTGGCTCCAGAAGTAAAGGAACACAAAGTCATGGAAAACCACTTTACCTGTTTGGTTTTTTTTAAAACATCCTAAATCTGTCAAAGAAAATGGTTATTGTCATGCATAGAGGTAGGGCAAACACACAAGTTTGCTCCATTACCTTCTTACATTTAAAAAAAAAAAAAAAAAAAAGTCGTGGGCTTTATTTCACATAGGCTCTGCTCACATCCAAAAATTTGGACCAAGTGCGTTAAAACAGACTTGCTCTGGGTTTACAATGAAGGAGAGCAGTTACCCTTCTCCTCGCCTTTTCAGAGGACAGATGAAGCTCAGCAACGAGACCCCACGTGCAGTAACACGCCTGACCTGCTCGCACACTCATCGCGCACTCATCGGCACAGGGCTTCCAAGCTCCCTGAAAGAGGTTGCTGGCAAAACAACATCAAACCACTCTTGAACCTACACGTGCCCCCTCGGCACCGCTATGACTTTGTCAAGGCTGTCAGGGCGACACAGACAGATCTTTATTTAAAAGGCACCAGAATCCCACTCTGCAGTGGCTAAATGAGAAAGTAACCATCATCTCCGGCCAGAATAAATCCAATTCAGCAGCATTTGGGCAGGTGAAGGAAGCAAAGGTTATGATGCTGAAAACTCATCTACCGTAGACTAGGTCAGAGACAAATTTTGGGGCACAGGGGGAGTAGGAATGCCATAAATTTCTGGCCTGTGAGGGGCTAGGAAGGTCCTGGACCTGGTCCTTCTCTCGTGGTTTTGCTGCTGGTGCAACAAGAAATTTGGCAAAGATACATTCACGTACGTCAAGAAAAAATCTTGGCCTTGAATCCACATGTTGGATCTAGAGGTTTGAAACAAGAATTTGTTCATCTCCTACACCAGCAAGTCAACTACAGTACTAAAACAGTCTTTTGGGTTTGGGACGCAAAACTTAGTATCAATGGCTTTCTAAAGGATCCTTTTTGGCTTGGTGTTTCTCCTCTCTCTGCAACTCGCACACAAATCAGCAAGCAGGTATCAGGTAGTGTATTTTTTCTAAAAGGTATTATTTCGCTTTTTGCAGCTTATCCTTCCTTTTAGGAAAGCCAAATTCCACATCTTACAAACATAAGCATATTCAAAATGTGTTGAAGGCATCATTCCAAAATGACTGTGCATGCTCAGGATGATATCATTTCCTTCTGCTTACACAGGAACAATCCTGTTCATGAGATCACAAGAGATGCCATAATAATTTAATTTGATACAAAATGGAAAACAACAGAATTGCTCGTTAGTACTGCATACCGTCTCCCCTCTCCCTCCCGACTGTTTGCTCCCTGGTTTTTTTGAAGCTACTTAACTTGACATTGGTAACAGACTCAGATTTTTATTTTTTTTTAATTAAAAATAACCAGCTGCAAAGACTTCTGGGAAGAAAAAAAAAAAGTCTTCATTTGCATTGCAGCAGCATCTAGACCAAACCCCTGGCACTAAAAGGATTTTATCCTACCAGGCCTGAACCCACAAATTGAGATTTCTCCTGCAACGGCTACAAAACCCCCTTGCTCAGAGCAGGCAGCTGGCTTTCTGCCTTAGCCTGAGGGGACGCTGGTGGAGTCACCACTGTCTGCGATGGGACAAACAGCAAACCCTGAAATGTGGAGATAGTACGTAAACTTTGTAGCATCGTTTCTGTAAGTGAAAATATTCTGTGAAGTTGTTGGGGTTTTTTTTAATTAGTAATTTCTGGTTTTGCAGTAACAGGGTTCTCTTCTTTAGGAGACAGTTCAAACTCCTTAAGGAATTGCAATTTTTCCACTGCTCTGCAAAGAGCCACTTAGCAATTGCTGTTCGGTAGCCCTTACTGCATGCCTGGCACGACCTCTGAAGTTGAGGGGTATCTTTTGTTGACTTCACTGGCAACCAAGGCCCACTCATGAAAAATCACCACCAGGTCAATAACCCCACAAGGCTTCAGTGGCATAACAACTACTGCAGGTGGTAAGCGTGAATTAGAGGTTAACGCTGTACCCCAAATAGTCAGGAAAGGAAATAGCTTTAAATGACTTCTTTATCTCTTGCTTTTTGAGGAACTAACTATGTTAATTGCATTCCCAGGTCTAGGTTACAATACTCTCCCTGCACAGCCAAGCTCATACAGCTTGAGGCCTCCCGTCTGAACTAGGCTGTACTCGATCCTGCACGGACACAGCAGCTACAGGACTGACAATGTTTTCACGTCACACCACGCAGGCACACTGATGGTGACTGTAGTGTTCAATATTCATTCAGGCTGAATCATTTTGCACACCTGTAATCAAATTCCTGGGGCCTGACATCCTTACGCTTGCTGCCTTTAGCGTACAGTTTTTAGAGGAAACAAACAGTTATGACGTTCATCTGTCGAAGCAGTCCACGGGAGCGAAGAGAGGGTCGTCATTTGGTCATTTCTGATCTGGTGATGAATACTGCATTAGGGGCAGGGCTGGCCAGAAAACGGGAAAAGATCAGAGTAACCAAAGGGGGTTACTCTCCCCCCAACCCTCTTCAGCCCCTTTGCTCCCACTGCAGAATCCACTGTGCATGTAGAGTGCCATCTGGGTTTCTTTCCCGTTACCATATCCTGTGGCACATGTGTCTAGGTTTTCTGCTTTCATGAGGTCGTTCAGACCAGCGTGAGTACATTCTCCGAGTGTTTTTCAACCCCCTCCTATTTGGAAACCAAATCCTATTCATTAAAACCTAAATCACTAAGCCTGCCAAATTATTATCCCCAGACTATCGCGTGTCCCAGATTCTCCCTGGGCTGGACCTCTCTTCCTACAGTCATATTCTTCAGGGACTTAAAGCAGTTATTGTTTTCAGGGGATCTGAAACACCAGTAAACTGCTTGAAACAGGAAAAAATATGCAGCATACTAAAAATCTTTAAATGGCTTGACAGCTCTGAAATCACTACATGAGCCTAACATTAAGGGAGTATGTTTAAAAATTTTGGCTAATAACCATGACACATATATAAAAAAGCCATTTTCTGTCAATTAGCTGCAATGAAAAATACCTCTATCTGTGACGCATGAAAATGTCGTAAGCTCACTGCGCAACAAGAACTTCGCTAAAAGTGAAATAAACTGCACATTCACTCCTTTCTCACGTCGCACTTCAGCAGCTCCATTTACACTACCACACACAGTTGTACAGTTGCATTCGAGAGAAATATTTTCTTTCTATTTTTGACTAGCATATACTTGTCTATTTAGAGTTTAAAATTGGAAAGACGGCTTCGTATACGATGAAAATAATAAAGCTCACAGCCATTCTGGAGCACGAGGTCTTCTTTCATCGAGAGCGCATTAGTAGGGAAGAGACAATTAAAAGGAACCTTGGGTACAGCTGCTCAGGCTGGTTTTCATTATTCCTCAGCACAGTGTATACAATTTGAACATCATATGTATTCATATAAGGAAGCTATATCGTAGTGGAATGGCTTTCTTCCATTCTTCCATGTGTAATTGGTAAATTCACCATGGTCATCCACAGTTGGGGTTTTGTTTTGGTTTGTGCTTTTTTTTTTTAATTTTGCAACGTGGTAGTATTTCTCATAGTTAAATGAAAAGGAAAACTTCTTGTCTCTGTTAATGTGTATCAGGATCTATATCCTTCACTGCTGATGCAAAACGGCATTTCGTTTTTCTTATTTATTCCACCTCAGTAAATCTGCCTGCCCAGTCCTCACGTTTTGATTTAATTTAATGCCTGCAAGATAAACCCTGTCATTTGTAATAATTTGTAAACCTTCATCTTTAAAATGCATCCAATCTGTCCTGCAGCCCTGTAAAGTATCTGTTAAACATTTTGCTTCAGCTTGCTCATGGTGTTCTCCTCTGATAAGAGCTGCTGATACACAGTATAAAGCTGACTTATTTCTTATCTCCATCAACATGGGTGTTGTTCCATTTCCAATTAAAAAAACTGGGGCAGCAGCCACTCATCTGGGCGCAGAGAAACAAATGTCTGATAAACACTGAATCCATCAGCTGGGCAGTACCACTGCCTGAATCAGGCAGGGGATTCACGAAAATAACTATTAAAATATAATTTTTAATACAATTACGTACAATTCAGTGTACTTTAAATAAGGTCGATCATTTTCATTTATCAATCAGTAAATATTCACAAAGCACATTAGCTTGTGTAAATTGTCTCAACTACGCTGCAATCCAAAATAGCTGGCCATCCGCACTTGCCACAGGGATGGGAAACACAAACCGGTACCTATGTGGCACCACCCTTCAGATCTGACTGTGTTAGGTGCTCAAACTGAAAATAGCTCTCGCTGCTCATCCCAGGTGCTGGGGCAGTATTGCCTACCAGCAATTCTCCTCCAGAGCACAGGGAGCCCTGTAGATAGATACAGCATGCAGTCCGAGCCTGACTTCCTCCAAGTATTTATTCTGTACAATTAGAGTACAGCATTAAGGAGGTCCTTACATTAAAAAACACAATCTGGAGACCTGTAGTATAAAATTCTGGTAAAGGGAAAAAAACCTCTTAGCTGAAAAGTACAATTTGCTAATAAGTTAAACGCAGAGACTTTCCTCTGAACTTGGCAGTGCAAGAACTGGAACACCCAGAGTGAAACGCTCGGGGTCTTCTCTTGTTCAGTCTTAGCAATAACGACATCCCCCAAGCCCCCCTCTGAGGTTGGTTTATCTCCTTGGACTTTGCAATTCATTTCTGGAAGGAAGAGTTAAAAGACTTAGTGATAGCACTTCAACGGCTTCAAGCTGCGGTGGCTGCCTGGCAATCACCGGATCTAGGGCATCTCGTAAGGGATAGCCATTACACTAAGTCCAGGTGGGATCTTAGAGGAAGAAGCAAGTGTTGCAAGCCCCGCGAGCCTGTAAGGCATAGCAGGTAGGAGGATCCAGTCCAGGCAGTAAATGGACATATTTTTGAAGGAGTCAGCTTCCGTTTTACAACCCAAAGCGAAGTGGCAACATTTTCCAGGAAGTTTCCTCACACAGAGAAAAAGCTCGTTTTTCTCCATGAGAGCTGGTGGTGAAAGAGCCCTTTTGAAAAATCCTGCCGTTTCAGAGGTACCTGATGCCTGCTGAGCCCATCTAAAAACCCGACTGGGCTAGACAGTCTCAGCACTTTGGAAAATCTGCCCCCCAAACCCAAATATGCCTCCTACATCACCGCTTCATGGCGGTAACACTGCAGGGGGATCTGGGCTATTTATTTTGCTATTGAAACTAGGAGTAGGACTGTTTCAGCTTTCTGCATTTTAATTTGCTGTGAAACATACTGGGAATTTAAGTGAATAGAAATAAAAAGCATAATGTGAGAGACCATGTGTTACTTTCAGAAATTAGGGAACTGGCAAGAACGAAGCCTTGAAGTGTTACATACACATACCTATGTAACAGATCCAAAGTATAAAATTATCACAGAAAAACTAGGAAATGGTGGTAAAATTAAGATAGGAAGTTCCCCTGCTTGCATCCTATGAAAGCAACAGATCAACCACCTTGACTTGGTAACAGATTTACCATTCTACATGTTGTGCTTTCATCCTTGCCAAAATAAAATGGAAGGCATAAACTCATCATAAACACACTCAGCAACACATTCCGTTTGGCACAGCTGCTAATGCATACGGATAACTTACTTGCGTGTTTATTGTACATGAGCTCTATCAGTTTAAAAGAAACTCATCAATCAGAAGAAAAAAATTGCCGTAATTTTTGAAGAATGATCTATGAGTTCAAGGTGGGTTTATAGCCAAGGTATTTAGGATATTTTTTACATTAATTACTCAATATGTGCAGTGAGGTGGGTTATTATTGTCCACATACACTAATGGCTTTCAGAGTTTAATCTCTCATCAGTGGACCTCCTTTTGCGAAATCCCTAAGGGATTATGTAGTACTATGTCTAATCACTTGACAAATTTCATTTACTTGAAACTGAAGCTAGGTTTGAATTATACAAAGCGTGTAGGAGGCATCAGATTCAAAGAAGGAAAACAAAATCTGGTACTGGACAATACCGAGATTTATCATTACGTTTGCATCTGAACTGCTTAACAATAAATTAAACAATTTTACTTGGGGAAATGTATTAGTTGTGTATCAGCTGCGTATGCCTATGAGATACTCAGATTGTTTTAGCTGTCACACAACAGGTTCAAAAGTCTACTATGACTCATGTAAAAAGGCAGGGGAAATTTTAATAATTTTGTTACTGCTGTATCATTTAGCAAAAAAATATTGCTACAATTTTTTACAGCAGTCTGCTACACTGAAAAGGGACATTTCTTTGGTATTAATTATACGATTCAGAAACAAAACAGTCCTTTACCAGTTGAATTTACCCTCTGAAGTTCCACACTCCAAACCAAATAAATCACCTGTAAGGCTGGGATGGATGAAGCATCTCTGTTCCTGTGCTGCCATCTCCCCACCGCAGAACAGCTACCATGGAGTTGTTCTCTCCATTAAGCAGCAATTCTCAGTGATTAACACATCCTGAAACCTAATGTTGTGAAACTCATCACATTATTCTCCATTATCATACCACAGGCAGATCTCCACATAAGCAAAATTTGACAGACGACACCATAGAAAAGGAATTTAAAATTCAGAGTAGCATTTGGCACCAAGCTAACTACACAAAGGTTGTGTGATGATATTATAATCTATTACATGTTATTATAACCTAGGTCTCCCACACTGCATTGCAAAGCCTTGCTACATGGCAAGTCTCGATGAAAACTCCAGATTATGGCTCTGAAAACAACATGCAAACACACAGGCACACGCTACCTCTGTAAAACAAATTTACCAAAATCCATCAAAGACGCAGCAATAACAAGACTTGTCTTGCAAACATCATTTCTAGTAGAGTTAGGACAGATTCAGAGCAAATACAGATGCAGACAGAAAGATTGCCGCTCTATTAATTTGTTGTCAAGCCATGCAGGAAAGGACAGCTGAAAGCCCGAAGATGCAATAATGATTGTTTAAGAGCTATTTGAAAAAGTGACAAAACTGGCCTAAACCTCTTTAAGCCCCCTGAATGAAAAGATTTAAACAGGCTATTGTTAGACCCCTGGGTACCTTTTTTCTCTTGGCTTTGTTCTGCATTTTCCTCTGCTGCAGTTTCCATGGCTGGCTTCATACCATCCACCAAAAATGCTGCCCCCCCCTCCCCCCCCAGCAAGCACTTTTTCTCTTCGCCTCCTTTCTCACTCCCTTCCGTCTCCTATTTACGGCGGCGGTGATTGAGCAGCTCTGTTCTCCCCTACAGTAGATTACAGCCCTTTCCAAAACGCCAGAAAAGTCTTGTCAGCTTCAATTTCGCTCCGCTGACTGGTCCACGAGGAGCCGTGCCAGCGAGTGCTCAGCCATACGTCACCACGGTCCCCAGCTATAAAATAGCCACCCTGTGCCCAACTGTGCCCCGGCTCGCCGCGTCGTGGGGACCGGCATCACCAGCTCGCACCCCCTTCCCCTTGCCCTCCGTTCTCCCCGTCTCTCCCTGTCTCCCAAGGCTCCCGGCGAATGTTAATCAATTCTCTCGGCGGTGAATGGATTGGCGACGTTGGGAGATGAGATGTGAGCAAGAAAGAAAGGAGCCCCCCAGCCGCCGTCTCTAAGGGGAGTGCACGCCGGCACACAATCACAGGGCTCCCTTTCCCATGGGACCTCGTTATTATGCTTCGCATTTTGATTTATTCCACATGCCCTCTGCTCTTTCAAGGGGTGGAGGGCGATGGGTCTGTTCTCTCTGTTTGCTTTCTTTGCCAAGTAAGTTCCGCTCACCCACGGCAAAAGACTCTTGTCAGAGAAGCATAAAAGCAAAAGTGGGCATATATATATACATGGAAAAATGTAAATTCTTTCTCTGACTAGCAAGAACGATGGAAAAAAAAGCACACAAAAAATCCAACCAAGCAGAAAGGAAGCAAGCTCAAATGACCTAAAATGCACATGCAATACTTTAAAGGATAAAATGTTTAAGAAAACACAGCTTGGGTTTTTAAAAGGATGTCTGCCATTAGAGACTTAAAGCCATGCTTAAAAGTGAGGGCAGAGTTGCTGTTAAGCACGTTTAATCGCTCCCCTAAATCGAGACAGACTGCAGTGCGATCTCACAAGCTGTACTAACCTGGCTCTGGAGGCAACAAAACCAGGACATGTGTACACTGCACTGCGCGAGGTGACTTTAGGTGTCCCTAGCCCACTCTAAGCAGCCCTGTGCTGGGGAGCCACAGAGCAGGCAACACCACACAAGGGTATTATTCACCTTCCAAGCCCCAAGATAACTGACATATTTAAATGCTGTACTGTACTGAGGCTAATTAACCTTGTCTATCACTTCGCTTGTCTCAGTGGCCTCGCAGCGTGCCACACTGCACTGGGCAGACGTGCCCAAAGGCACCCCCTTTTCATGTGTAGGATGATGGAGCAACCATGGAGTAATGGCCTTTGTGGTCTGGCAGGCTTCGCTGGTCCAGCTGCCACAGCCCATTCTGCAGGCTGCAAAGACGACTAGCAGATTCAGCAAATGCTGGGGATGTTAAAACCTACACGCTGCATGTTCCATATAACAGATTCAACCAGGAGAGTGGGAAGAGGGAAGCAGTCCAAAGCTGCAATTCAGCCTCTTCTGATTAACGTTATTACACCCACAATTTTGCTGCGCATTTTTATTTCTATGGGTGCCTAGTGAAAAGCACAAAAAACCTCAGACCCAACCTTTAGAGAAAGTTCCCTTCTCTTGCAAAAATCAGTGCAGAAATTCTCTTTTCTCACTGTGGTCACCATACTTGTCACTTTGCTTTGGGCATTACTGCTCAGACATATGCTTCAGCCCAGCTGCCAAGAGGTCTTGGACTTATTCTAAGGTTTCATATCACAGCGTTAAAACTTGATGTCAAGCATTTGCCTAAAAGGCTTTCTTGGAGCCCAGGAACCATAGAATAAAATCATAGAATGGTTTTGGTTGGAAGGGACCTCAAAGACCATCTAGTTCCAACCCCCCCTGCCATGGACAGGGACACCCTCCACTAGACCAGGTTGCCCAACGCCCCATCCAACCTGGCCTTGAACGCTTCCAGGGAGGGGGCCTCCACAACCTCTCTGGGCAACCTGTTTCAGTGCCTCACCACCCTCACAGTGAAGAATTTCTTTCTGACATCTAATATAAATCAACCCTCCTTCAGCTTAAACCCATTACCCCTTGTCCTGTCACTACACTCCCTGATGAAGAGTCGCTCTTAGAGTCTGCAGTTGAAGCTCCCACCTCAGCAGACCTTTTTATAAGCAGGATGAAGTTAATCTGTAGAGAAGATAAAGTATCCTCAGGAACCAACGTGAGGCAACGGGTTGGGTTCCTGAAGGTAATCAAATCAGCAGCCTCAGCAGAGACCTCAACCCAGGCGCAAGGCATTTCTCCAATCTCCTCCAATGCCCACACATCAGTCCATACGCGTACTGAAATCCCTGCCCAGCAAGACCATGCAAATGCACTCCCTCAAGGAAGCAGCAGAAAGGTGAAACCATAGATGTTTGCTGAACCATTACTAAAAGTTGTTCGAATCCCAGAGTCATGAAAGGAAAGACAACTTATTTACAACTAGGATAATGATTATACAAAGAAAATGTTCTACAAAGAGTGGGGTTTTTTCCATGTTTAACATCAGTAAGATTGAAAATCCACAGCAAACATACCCTACTTGCTGAAAATCACACAAATTTTAGTTATTGGTCAAAACGGTTGATTGCCTCTGACATCAAAATTCCCTTCTTGGAACTTACTGTTCAGTCAGTACTTCTACTTGCTGCTGTCATAGTCTAGATCCCCATTTCTTAATGATCTTGGCTTACTTTGGAAGGTCTACAAGTTTAAAAGGTTGAAACCTCTCTTCTGACTACCCCAAATTACAAAAGGCCTGTTCAAAAACTCCTTCAAGTGGTATAATATTAATGCACTTATCAGTATAAATACACAGAACATACAAACGTGTGTTGGGTTTGCGTGGCAAGGTTTTG